CGGAGGAGAAGGAGTAGAAGGCGAAGGGGGAGGGGTAGGAGGAGAAGGAGTAGGAGGCGAAAGGGGAGGGGTAGGAGGAGAAGGAGTAGGAGGCGAAGGGGGAGGGGTAGGAGGAGAAGATGTAGGAGGCGAAAGGGGAGGGGTAGGAGGAGAAGGAGTAGGAGGCGAAGGGGGAGGGGTAGGAGGAGAAGATGTAGGAGGCGAAAGGGGAGGGGTAGGAGGAGAAGGAGTAGGAGGCGAAGGGGGAGGGGTAGGAGAAGAAGATGTAGGAGGCGAAAGGGGAGGGGTAGGAGGAGAAGGAGTAGGAGGCGAAGGGGGAGGGGTAGGAGAAGAAGATGTAGGAGGCGAAGGGGTTGAAGGAGGCGGAAAAGGAGGAGGAAGGAAAACGGAGAAGGAAGGGGTAGCACCCGGACGGATGTTGCATCGACTCGGAACTCCCGGAATTTATTCGGACATCGAACCGATCGTCTTAGAGATACAACTGACGATAACATGGCACCGCAGACGCCCACACGCAGTCGCCGTAACTTCGACCTCCCCCTCCCCCGCCCCCTGGTGGCACTCCGGGCAGCGCCGTTCTCCGTAGAACATCAAAATTCGACACGCCGGACGTTGTGAAATTACCTCAGCAGAACACGCCGAAACCGAAGAACAAAATGCGGACGTTCAACTGGGGACGGATCACGCCAGAGAAGGTATTAAGCGGGAACAACCTGTGGAGTGTGGTTGGGAAGAACAACAAGAGCGTGAACTTCGACTATGATGCGATGGAGGAATTGTTCTGTCGAAACGACACGTCTAGGAATAAATCAAAACGAAACAATAGCGGCGAACAGTCGGATAGAAAGAAACGCCCTGATTCAGTTGAGGTGAGTTAGATACATGGATAGTTCGATATAATGACTAAATATAGAACAGCTAGAAAACCCAGAACTAGAACAAATAGCTGAAAGAAGAAGTTGTTGAAACCAGAACTAACAATTAACACTATTAAATTTTCCAAACACAAAACACTTGAGCATTTTGAAACTTGAATTACAGTATCACGCATATAAATTAGATTTGATGATATTCACAATAATATATGATCGGGATAAGAAGATATCAAATACGTGGTTCTTATATGAAATTATATCCTTAGATATTATTAAATATAGTATCGCCTAGGCAGCGCTTTTTCATAACTCAACCATATGGGTTTACCATATAACATGTATAAAAACATAAATTTCAATAACTATAGATTTACTACCAGATCGGTGTTTTCGTTGCAGGTATGCTTGTTGGACAACAGGAGGAGCTTAAATATCAATATCTATCTCAAGCAATTTCGTGGGTAAGTACTAGCTACTAGCTGCAGCTACATACACCAATGCACATATGTACACTAATGCTGTCCCAGTTATTACGTATTGCCAAATAGATCCCAATCACATTTTGTGTTTTACACGTATTAAAGAAATAGAATAATGCATTGTGGTTAGTATAATTCATTGTTTTGTATATTGTGCACTTGTATATAATACATTTTTTGTATATATTTGTATTTTTTAATGCATTGTATTTTTATGTAAATGTATTATTATACTCCTCATCCTATCAAGAACTCATTACAACTTGATATACTGTTATCACGCGGAAATGTGATTCACACGTAAAGCTAAACACATACCAAATTTTCCTTTACGATTACTCTTCAATTGTAACGGTTTTGCATTAGAATTTCAAACCATTTCCACGTCTTTTCTGCCCACGGGAACAAACTGAGGATAACTGAAATCTTGTAATCTTGGTGTTTTTGTAACGTGCACCATTGTAATACGATCAGGTATGCCCGCACGCGCCATAACGGAATCAAAATAAACCTGTCTTCCTGGTTCCCATCAACTGCCCCTTACAATTGCTGCATCGCCAAACGTAGAAAATGAAAGAGAAAAAACGCTAGACAAAATGAAATGATCGTAATCGCATGGCTGTCCTCGTTTTATTTCGTAACTTTTAAGCGGATCTCGATGATAATTAATGATAATGATAATAATTAATGATAATTAATTTACTGTTCCGTGGGACAGTATAGGGACAAGGCAACACAGGTGGGGCGCGTTTTTAAAATACACGGGCGTTGCTCTTCTCGGCTCTTCGCGTTGAATTTCCCTTCAGCCACGCTGCAACGCCTTTCATACTAATAATGAAAGCCTTTCACAGCGTGATCACGTAGGATTAGCTTTTGATAGACCGACGGGAGGCGCTGATTTTCAACCCCTCACATAAACCAGTCTGATAAAACAGTAATATACCATGATAGTCACGCACAGCCTGCCGCGCGGAACGTTTAAAATTATATCGAAATAAAAAACTCGATATCTTTAGTGGAATTCTATTTTGGTTTGGTCACATCTCGCAAGCTCATGCGAGCAAGTGGGCTTTGCGCTCAGCAACCGTAGTCTCCCCCTCTACACAGCGATATCTACGAGAATTTCACTTGAGTGATGTAAATCAGAATCGTTCGTGTACACGCACTCTCCCGCACACACGCCCTCGCACAGACGCACACACACGCGCGCACATGCGCACACAATCAGACATACAATCACATAACACACAGACACGCATGCACGCACGTACGCACGCGCGCACGTACCGTGGTTGACTTTGTGAGTGCAAACGTGACTCATCGCTATGACTAATATTGTCACCGTCCGTGCTCTTACCATAATTAGAATGTTACGATATCATCTAAACTATATACGCTGATATAGCGTGTCCTTGTTGGAGACGAATATCGTCGCTTGTGACCTTCTCTTGCTTTTCCCTCCATAATTTACTCGTTCGCACTAGTTCTAGTAATGCTCTGCTCGTATATGCATTGATTGTAATGTAATGTGACGTAACGTGACGTAACTCGGCATAGCGTACCGTGACGTAATGTAGCGTAATGTAACGTAACGTACTCTAACGTAACGTAAAATTACGTAACGTTATAATATAATTGGATGCAAGTCATGCAAAGCATTGTCAATAGTCTAATTATGGTGGCTCCAGGATGAAAACAATAGGGCACGGCGTTACGTGCAACTTATATATTTATATTTTACATAATTTAATCATAGTGTATAATACGTTTATTAATTCGTTTATTCGTATTAAAACAGCGGACAGGATGAGCTGCTAACTTTGCTGAAGAGTGGTGACAGTCAGACGATAGGTGTCGAGAAGCTGAAGGGACTAGTTAAGATCATGCCGGAGTCTGACGAGGTAATAATATTAACTAACTCAGCAGCTAATGTTACATCGGCTAGCTATTATTACACTCGCATATTTATTGTTGTAATGACGTATTGTTGTACGATACAAGATATTGTGATAATTGTGAACAATAATAATCACATTGTTATTGAGTATTATACTATTTGAGTGATTTTGTTATTGGTGTTATTTAGTAATACCAAATGCCGTTTACATATATGGGCATGGGTGCATGGTTGTATTTCACGCTGTCCTGATGCTGTGTATATTACAATACACACAGATTAATGACAGTAGGTAAACTAAACAAACTGTATTTATGATACGTGCGCAGTTTTCTTATTTTACTTCAGAAACACGTGTTGAGAACTTTTACTAACTACTTTAACAAACTATACCAGATGTACTGGTACATGGTGTATGCATATATGCACCCAGTCAGCACTAATGTTGCAGCATGATCACACTGGTTGTAAATTTTAGGTTTGATCCAAGGGTAAATTAGGCGTTTTTTGTAATTACTCCAAACTTGCATTACAAACAAGTTTCAACGGTGAAATTGGATATTTCTTCTTGTTCTTACTCCCGCGCGTGTTTGGTACACGCGACTGCATGCCATGTGTGTAACGAGGGATATAATGCAAGTGCAACTCGTTTATTGCATATAGCTTTGGGTGATTTAGTAAAATTCCGAAGATTGAAACGCATAACTATGTAACATACAACTTACACGAGTTTGGTGTAGCTAGCAAGAACGCTGTTCCTCATACTCTACTCTCTGTGAGAGCATACATGTAGATTGTGAACGTGAAAAATCCTAGATGATGTGAAATGGTTGCAGATTGGGATGCTACGATCATACGACGGTGATGAGTGTAAGCTTGGAGCAGCCGAGAAATTTATCATGCAACTCATAAAGATGCCAAAGTGAGTAAATACTGAAGGATGGGAAGTCGCGTGTTATGAACATTAATCTACCTTTACGTGTGTATAAAATGTGAAACTATTGTACCCTTTAGTGGCAATGTTCAGTAATGATTTTGGTAAAAAGTCGTAATCTCTGTCTCTCTCTCTCTCTCTCTCTCTCTCTCTCTTTCTCTCTCTCTCTATGAATCATACCGTATTAGTTAATCTATTAGCGCTCATGGGTGCCTGGGGCTAATATAATCGAGTCGTTATCAAACAGTTATAAATATAATGAATCCTTATCAAATAGTTAGCAAATACGACAACATCACATAACATCAACTAAAAGCCTTATTATGAGCTATAAAGTTCTACATCGTATCGCTATATAGTATTTATATAATAAACCATTTAACATGGTTTCTTTTGCGAAACATAGCTTATATGGTATTGGTACTATGACCCCATGGGGTAACATATCTGCAATGAAATGTTTTCAGTTACAAATTGCGCATTGAGTGCATGTTAGTGCGTGAGGAGTTTGACACGAACCTCGATTACGTAAAACCTGCTATCGACTCCATCGCCATGGCCGCTGAAGGTATCACCATGGTTACGCATATTATTTTATTTTTAATTTTTATATAGTATATAGTATATATTGACACCTTATTCTATATTTCTATAATTTTCTATATACTTCATGGGTGTCCGTGTGTTTTTACTTCTATCTATCTATCTATCTATCTATCTATCTATCTATCTATCTATCTATCTATCTATCTATCTATCTATCTATCTATCTATCTATCTATCTATCTATCT